GTGCGTGCAGCCGGCGACAAAGTTCAGACACACCTGTCACCTGTTAACCTTCATTAATCAGAGACACACTAACACGGACACACCTGAACTGTTTGTCACCAGAAGACTCTCAACAACAACAACAACAACAACAACAACAATAATAATAATACAAGAAACACAAAATAATCCACATTAAATACAAATAAAACATAACAACAAGAATAATGTTAGAACTGGTATTTATACTGTTTGAATAGTAATTTACTGCAGAATAAAATATTCTAATAATTAGAGACACTGGATCTTTGATTCACATGAGCTGTAAATCAAGTTATAACAAAAAAGGCACATATATATATTATATACAATAAAAAAAGAAAAAGTAGTTTCAAAAAGTGGAAATTTCGAGTCACACAACAATAATAATATAAAACAGCAAAAACGTGGATATAAGGAAATGGAAATGTAACAACTGCTTCCACTGTTTTATTATAATTCAGGTTTTTACAGCTCGTGTACGTCATAAATCCAGTGTCTCTAATTATTAGAATATTTAATTTTGAAACAGCATGTTGACTGGAGTCAATATTTCCTGGATGCCCAAGTGTCTGTCCTGCAGATGGACTGGTCCCGGCTGGCCCGGCCCGTTCACAGCGATATGAAACGTGGCCTCCTCATGAATAAACCAGATAAATGAAGTGGACGTCCGTTAACGAGATGTTTACTGAGAGCAGCTCTTGTTTACTTGTTTACTGCCACCATCTGTGTTGACGCTGCTGCTGTCTGTCCTGCAGATGAATCGGCCGATCCAGGTGAAGCCAGCTGACAGCGAGGGCAGAGGAGGTGAGCAGCACACACACACACACACACACACACACACACACACACACACAGGTGTCTCTGTGAGGACACTCCATCGTTTTTTTATTATTTATCTACACAAATTGAAACTTGCTGACTCAACATGTTTCCAGAGGAATGCTGCGGCGCCACACGCTGGACATATTTTACTATTTACATGTTAAATGTGAGGGCTGCAGG